CACGACTTGAAGGTCCAACTTCCTGCCTCGTCATCATTCCCACTTGGATCATTTATATGTACTGCAAATTTACCAGGGTCGGAATACAATGCTGTCTTTACTCCATCCCCACTCCTTCAATCTTCCACTTCAATAAATAGCACACCCAATCGCTAAGACCAAAGCCCTACCACAGTCATCCTTGATTCTGCTTTCCCTCATTTTGGAGCATTCTGTCCCAAAATACAATCCAAAATCAACCACTCCTCATCAACTCCACTGCTATAATCCCAATCTAAGACACCATCATCTCTCCCCTACACAAATGCACAAGCCTTATCTGTCCAGACAAGAGCCACAGCGATCTAAGGTACAAACCCCAATAAGATTAGTTCACGCCTCTGATTAAAGCTGGCTTCCCATTACAGTTAAAAATCAATTCCAATTCATTTTCTCAACCCTGTGACATGGCTTCTGCCTGTCTCTGTTCACTAGACTTCAGTACCCTAGCTGTCTATCCCTGGATATGTCAGTATTTTTGCAATTATTATATTTTCTTCCTGCAACACTCTCACCCAAGCCCCTACTTTCTGGCAAAACAGACACACAGCTATCTTATCACCTACATTCTGGCTCAAAGGCATTATTACCAAGCTAGCTGGAACAGGCCTTCACACTATCCCATCCTGTTTAATTATCTCCATAGCACTTATTACTTGAAATTATTTATATTTTTGCACATTTATTATTAACATTAGGGCACAAGTTCCATGAAAACAAGAACTTGGATCTGTCTTGTTTATCCCAGTGCCTAGAATACTATCTAGCACAGGAGACACTCAGTAAACAGTTGTTATATTAACAACTAGCGAGTAATTCATGAACATTCCTACAGATGGATTATTAAAATGCTAGCCCAAGTAATTACTTCCTGTTTTTGAATTAATATTTTATTTTAGATAATCAGACTTTCCTATTTCTGATGGTTATACTTCAGACCAGGGCAGAAATCTCTTGCTGGGCTGGGTGAAGAGCTTTAAAGACTGGCGAGGCGAGCACACAATATGATCTCTGAAGGGTTTTTCTCCAGTCTGAGTATTTATAAAGAAGAATCAAGCACACACACACACAAAACAACAACAACAACAAAAACACACCAACTAGCTTTCAGCGGCCTTAGAGCGCTAGACAGATCCACCCTCATCCCATTTTTAAAAAACACCTCGAGTGTGAACCAAAGCCAGCTGAGTGTCTTACATTCTTATTTACACTAGTATTACAGTGCATTCACCAAATATTCTAAAACAAATAAGAATGTTGATCAAAAAAGAAGATACAGGATTTTATATCTCAAACCTCAATTACTAATACAATCTTCATTCCCATCCCTCAAAAGTTAGACAAACACTGAACATGCAGAAATAACAGGACCATAGATGTGAAAACAACAGGAGGCAAGAAGAAAGAATATTATATGTGATGTATGCAAAAGGCTGCCAAAGTTTATCTTAATCCTGTAAGTCTAGAAAGCTGGAAGATGCCCTCCAAACAAAGCCTGTGCTACTAAATGAAAAGACCAAATCTGGGATGATCTCAGTTAAAAAGACTAGTATGATACTCCTAATGAGGTATATTTTTTCAGAAATGTAGGTAGGCATTATTCAGAAAAAAACCTTTTCTTTGCCTTTGTTTTATTTGTTTGTTTGTTTATTTTTGTCATAGGGTGCATGTGCTCACCAGAGAGACAGGCACACACACACACACACACACACACACACACACACACACACAGAGAAATGAGAAATCATCCCCCAAGGTGATGACCATGCCACAATCTCCCCTCCTTCATTTTCCTTTCAGGATTTTGGGCATGCATGTGCATGCACCTTGTGTTTTTGAAGTCATCAAGTCTGGGACTTGAACTATAGTTGGCCATGTGGGATCTGGCACCTTAATCACCATGTCACCTGCTGGCCCGCTATAAATTTACCAGAATTGTAAGCCATTAACATTTTTCTAAACAATGCAGTCCAACCGGAAATAAAGGTAATTTTCCACCGGCATGGGTGTGTTATACACTACTGTTTTACAGAATGGCTCTCTGAGTAGCATTTTCTTAAATTCTCCCACAACCACTCTGTCAACATAAGCAGAAAGTATTCCCACCACTCTACTCTGAAAAGAGATCCACAAGAGGGTCTTGGTCAATGGAAAAGGGAAGATGTCAGTGACTTTCACTAATCAACAGTATAAGAATGATTTCCCTTGGAAAAGAACAGAGATCCTTTTATATATTGTGGTGGCCAAAAACTGGGGCAGAATTCATCAGGAAGATGAAAGCAATAGGAGAGAACCCTTATGACCTCCATTTTAACTTGATAAAATGAACTTTGTCTTATGCAATATTACTGAAAACAGTAACCACAACCAAAAAGGCCTAATAAGCCTGTTACAGGTGTCAGTCAAGGGAGTCACATTCTGACCTTGAATTTTAAAGCCCCCTTAAATGAAGAGGTGTGGACTTGGATTAAAGTAAATACAATATTCTAAACTAAAAAGCTCAATAAGACACCCTAAAATAATTAACCAAAACATCCAAACAATGGCTGGATAGCTAATGTAGGTTTTTTTGTTTTGCTTTTTAACTATGAATTTTTTTAGGATCTCAGATTAGTGTATATTCGGTAAGATAATGCTCAGTTATTTTAATAATAGCTGCTTATTAAAAAATTGAATTTTAGCTTAAGGCAATGCCTCCTGATAATAATCACAAAGATAATTAACTGGTATAAAACAAACAAACAAAAAATACAGAAGAAAATACAGCCAGCCTCAATAATAAGACAAGTCTGGAAGGGTTAAAGGGAGATTAAACAAGACTATTTAAATACTATGTTACAAGTGCACCTGCTTACTTCATAACTGCAGAAACCCATTTGTTTGCTAGATCACCATTACCTTTGTTAGTAGGTGTACAGACCACCACTCTGAAGTTATCCTTTTGTGCTGAAAACTTTCAAATCCCTTGTTTGGTCAGTACAAAATATTGCAAGGTGATGCACGTGCAAACTCTTCCTGAGGAATTATTTATGTGTGCAAATTTGCAGCCTTATAGAAAGCATGGCATACAGCAAGGGGAGTGGCAGCGGTAGAGGTCTGAGCACTGGGGACGTGTGTAGCATTCATGGCCACAGGCATTGGTTCTTCTGCAATATCATCTACCCACAAATCAGCTTTCATTCTAGAACCCAAGAAAGGGATGATGACTGCTGTAAACTCGCAAAAGGGACCAGGTCTGTGTTTATACCCACTAACCTACCACCTATGGACTACGAGGCTCTGAGTCACACCACCAGCCTTCGCTTTCTGCCCCACAGAAAACAAAGCAGTGAGTCCTGTTGGTTAGGGTGCAGCTGTGACAACTGAGTTCATGAGATGACACCGTTACTGAAGTTTAAGGCCAACTTTAAAATATATACCAATACATACTGCCTGTCAAAACAAGTTATCAACTATTTACTTTTACATGTCATCATTTCAAGATAACTGATCTGGTTTTTTTAAGGGTCTAATTTCAGGCTGCACATATATACTAGTAAGGTTAGTCAAATCAATTATGTATACTGACTAATCAACCAATCAATCTGCATATACTATTTTCTGTCTTCAATGATTTGGGCCTTCAATGATTCGATATAAAAAGTCAGTAATAAATTGGGTTGGAAAACTGTATACTGTACTGGCAAGAAATATACAAGTAAATTTGACAAGAAAATACTTTCTGGCAAACAGTACTAGACAATACAAAATGGGAAAGGTCAGATTTTATTTTCTCTAATGTTCTAAACTAAGAATTCTGTTAATTTTCAGTTAAAGAAGTTTTTCATACTGCAATGATGTCAAGGGGCCATGATGAGTAACAACTAGGACACATGCGCTGGGGACATGTATATACCCTTCCTCTAGAGCCTTCCAATAATCAAGCTTAGAGTACCAAGCCCCGACTCACAGCTGGCTGCAGTCACTGCAAACGTTTAGAGATACTACATTTTGCAAACTCTGCCTACATTTTGTTTACACGTACGCAATCATAAAAAAGAATATAAAATATTTCTCCATTGGCTTAATAATACAAAAGCATCCAAAGATGTCAATGCCAATTCACATCTTAATACAATGCTTTTATAGGGAAAATTCCGTTGTTTGCCAAAAAAGAAGGTTTGCTCCAGAAAAAGCAGCTGGGTACATAGTAGGATAGTGAAGAACTCATCCACATTTGAAGAAAAGTTCTAGTTTTATTCCTTTCAGAAATATTAAAACAATTCAGGAGAGACTTCGGTTCCAGGTGTTACTTATGAGCCTGCAGCAAATACCCCATTGAGGAAAGTAAAATTTGCACTTCATGATAAAATGAATCTTCCTTGACACTAGAATGTTCCTGGTGTAGCAAAATAGAGCCTGTATATGTTCTTACAGTAATCAATATGTTCCAAGATGCTCAGAGTTAGACATGTCCAATTAAAATCCTCTACAATGTCCATTAACCCTGGCTGATAAGTACTTAAAAAAAATCTGACGTTTTCCTTTGACGTCTTTGTATAATTTCCCAATCTAAGACCCCTACTCAGACAACTTACTTGCTCCCAATATGTGACTTCTAACTCTCCCTTCCACCCCATTCTCAAAAAAGGATAACTGAAGTGTCAGAGGTAGCTCTATGAAAAACCTACAAAACAGACCCTGGTATGTCTCCCACTCTACCCCAACCAATGTCAAGCTCTCTGAATAGGTAAATATTATTAGTCATCTGGAGCCCAATGGAGCCTATGAGCAATTCAGACTCAAGCAAAATTGAGAGAAAAATATTTTTCCCTTGACACGTCTATTTTTCTGTTTCTTTCAAAAACTAGAAAAGCTTCAGACTTTTAGGAAGAGCTAAAGAGCACTGTGGGCATGGAGAAACACAAAATATAGCTCTGCCACAGCTGGAAGGGCACCTTAAAACAGCAGTGCTAATTCTTTCCCATTACATTAAAATATAATGTTTAATAGATGCAGGACTGTAGTTTGTTTTTATTTTTCTTAAGTACTTATCTCACCCATTTAAAATGAAATGGATTGGGAACCCCAGATTGTTGATTGCACTGGGATTTAATGACTATCTCTGCTTCCTAGAGCATCACAGGAAGCAGCTCTTAATAATTCTCAGCATTAAAGGGAGCTTCAGTGCTCAAGTACTGCCCATCCCTAACCTGGAGTACTGCCAAGACTACAGCAGCTGGGGAAACCACGTTCAGCAACAGAGGGAATGGAAATAAACGCTCTCTGAGAGTTGGTCCCCAACATCAACACAAATATGCCTCAGTGAGGCAAGGGAACGTCTAATGGGTAACACACTTCCATTTTCCCACTCAATTAGCATCCTGCTATAAAGTCACACAGATATTTTGGTGGGTTATCTGGGATACCATTAACTTCTCCAGGAAGCATCTGTGAGTTTGACAACATGGTCACACAGTTGCAAAGTGCACAAAGCTCAAGGCACAGAGTAGAAAAAAGTTGTGAACTAATGGGGCAAAAAGTTCTAGCAAAAGCAGAGTTAGCATTTTCCTTTAACAATAACAAGACTTTCTAATGCTAAACAAAGACCAACTCTTTTAAAGGGGTTGTTTTGGTTATGGGTGAAAAAATACTGTATTATAATGATCTGCTTAGTTTTAAAGCAAAAGATATCTTGACATGTGAAACCAATATGCCAAAGTGCTGAGTCCACAAATGAACAAAACAAGTGCTTTAAGGAGAGGAAGAAAAAAAAAAGATTCTTCTGCTCTTGTATTTTTGGAGGAAGCTGCTGATTTTGGCCGTCGAATATCACTTAGCAATGATCGCTTTCCAAGATGCATGTTCCTCACAGAATCTGTAGATAAGCTCATTAAGATTGTCCCATTTCAAATCACCCCCAAGTCTAGCAGCAACTGTTTTTAGGTTTTGTTTTTTGTTAGTTTTTCTTTTTTAAAATTACAAACCAAAGTAAGAGTCCAACATCCTCTTCTAAGAACAGCTTTGTGACAGAGCTCCTGAGTGTCTGCAGGCCCCCGCTGTGCTCTGAATACAGTCTCTGCAGCTCCAGTGTGTCCTCTTTTCCGGAAGGAAAGTACATTCAATACATTCACTATCTGTACCCCCTGGAACTTGCACATGCTGACGAGCTGTCTGAAAAAACATCAGAACAGAAGAAGTATGAATAGCAGATAGCATTTGACAGTGGTAGAAATGTGTTTATTTAAAATTTCTTATTCTTCTCCCAAGTCCTTGAAAGAGGACCTTAAAACCCCTCAAAACCACATGGTTTGGAGTGAAGTAAATAGAGGCCAAGATTATCAGTAACTGGAATTGGACCATTATCCCATCGTAGCAGAGACAAAAGAATCTGGTGGCTTCTTGACAAATGCTTGAGAATCACCACCAACAACTGGACATCAGAAGTGCCACAGCTGCAGAACAGCCGACCCCGATCACACATATGCTGTGTGAGAACACTGTGGGTATCATTATGCTCCTGCACAATTATTGCCAGTGGATGCCTTACATCACCTAACCATCGAAGGTGGGAAGGAACATCATTACTTACTATAAGCCAACTCATCCCCGGCTCTCTTACGGGACTGGTCACCTCTAGGGATAAGAAAAGAAAAGGCAGTCAACAGAACTGACTGACTTCACACACCAAGACAGGAGAATTAAGTCGGCATGATTGATAATGAAAATAGAGCAGATATTTCACTTCTACCCCTATTTTAAAACAGACATTAAACATAAGCTAAGTCATTTATAACCTGAATATTTTTAGCTAAAGGGTGCTATCTCAAATACAGAAAGCTATTAAATGAAGAAAGGATCATTTATAAAGATGGTTTACATTAAGTTCAGAAAACAGATTCAGACTTTGTCTCTGAAGATAAACTTTGGTTCTTCTATCCACATCCCTGGTGACCTGCACCTATTAGGGTAAATTTCAAATATGAAATAGAATAATTAAAAAAAAAACTTAAAAAAAGTCTTACTGAGACTAAAAACTGCTTAAAGCCTTTGAAAAAAAATTTTAGAATCTCACACCTTAATACACTTTTTGAAGGCAGGACATGAATCTTCACATTTATTAACCAGTTCATCCTCAACTGCCTACAAATGAAACTCTAGCTTCACTTCATAGTTAAGATTAAGTAGAAGTTCTAGAGCCAGCCACTGGTAAGGCAGTTAAGGTGGCTGGATCTCACATGGCTGGCCCTGTGGTTCAAGTCCCAGACCTGGCCGCTTGAGAAACATGCTGGCCATATGTGTATGTGTGCCCAAAATCCCCAAAAGAGAAATGGAGAAGGGCCTGCAGCATGACCATCCCCCATGGGGGGGGGGGGCTTTCTCACCCTCCCCCATCTCCAGTGAGTGCATGCACCCTCTAGCAAATTAAGGAAGGAAGAAAGGAAGGGGTTCTGTGTAAGTCCCATTCTACCTGTACATCCTATTTTTTTTGTCTCTCCAGTTTTTCATACAATAATCCACACAAATGACTAACATGCTTCAACAGTGATTGATAATCACCAGTTTGCCAGTGTTTTATTCCTCAGTCTCTTAGTGGTATTTATATACTTGATCTTTCCTTCCTGAAACACTTTCTCCATAGCCTGACCTTCCTTCTCTGCCATTTGCTATACCCTATAATCTCCTTCGGAACTAAAAAAAAAAAAAAAAAAAGACATTCTGTCCTTAGTCGTCTTTCCTTCTCTATGCACATTCTTCTTCTCGGATAGTGATCCTGTGGCTTTAAATACTCTCCACGTGCCAGTGGCTCCCTGACTTAACATATCTAGCTCTGACTTCTTCCCTATTTTTGAAGGTCCAACTTCCTGCCTCGTCATCATTCCCACTTGGATCATTTATATGTACTGCAAATTTACCAGGGTCGGAATACAATGCTGTCTTTACTCCATCCCCACTCCTTCAATCTTCCACTTCAATAAATAGCACACCCAATCGCTAAGACCAAAGCCCTACCACAGTCATCCTTGATTCTGCTTTCCCTCATTTTGGAGCATTCTGTCCCAAAATACAATCCAAAATCAACCACTCCTCATCAACTCCACTGCTATAATCCCAATCTAAGACACCATCATCTCTCCCCTACACAAATGCACAAGCCTTATCTGTCCAGACAAGAGCCACAGCGATCTAAGGTACAAACCCCAATAAGATTAGTTCACGCCTCTGATTAAAGCTGGCTTCCCATTACAGTTAAAAATCAATTCCAATTCATTTTCTCAACCCTGTGACATGGCTTCTGCCTGTCTCTGTTCACTAGACTTCAGTACCCTAGCTGTCTATCCCTGGATATGTCAGTATTTTTGCAATTATTATATTTTCTTCCTGCAACACTCTCACCCAAGCCCCTACTTTCTGGCAAAACAGACACACAGCTATCTTATCACCTACATTCTGGCTCAAAGGCATTATTACCAAGCTAGCTGGAACAGGCCTTCACACTATCCCATCCTGTTTAATTATCTCCATAGCACTTATTACTTGAAATTATTTATATTTTTGCACATTTATTATTAACATTAGGGCACAAGTTCCATGAAAACAAGAACTTGGATCTGTCTTGTTTATCCCAGTGCCTAGAATACTATCTAGCACAGGAGACACTCAGTAAACAGTTGTTATATTAACAACTAGCGAGTAATTCATGAACATTCCTACAGATGGATTATTAAAATGCTAGCCCAAGTAATTACTTCCTGTTTTTGAATTAATATTTTATTTTAGATAATCAGACTTTCCTATTTCTGATGGTTATACTTCAGACCAGGGCAGAAATCTCTTGCTGGGCTGGGTGAAGAGCTTTAAAGACTGGCGAGGCGAGCACACAATATGATCTCTGAAGGGTTTTTCTCCAGTCTGAGTATTTATAAAGAAGAATCAAGCACACACACACACAAAACAACAACAACAACAAAAACACACCAACTAGCTTTCAGCGGCCTTAGAGCGCTAGACAGATCCACCCTCATCCCATTTTTAAAAAACACCTCGAGTGTGAACCAAAGCCAGCTGAGTGTCTTACATTCTTATTTACACTAGTATTACAGTGCATTCACCAAATATTCTAAAACAAATAAGAATGTTGATCAAAAAAGAAGATACAGGATTTTATATCTCAAACCTCAATTACTAATACAATCTTCATTCCCATCCCTCAAAAGTTAGACAAACACTGAACATGCAGAAATAACAGGACCATAGATGTGAAAACAACAGGAGGCAAGAAGAAAGAATATTATATGTGATGTATGCAAAAGGCTGCCAAAGTTTATCTTAATCCTGTAAGTCTAGAAAGCTGGAAGATGCCCTCCAAACAAAGCCTGTGCTACTAAATGAAAAGACCAAATCTGGGATGATCTCAGTTAAAAAGACTAGTATGATACTCCTAATGAGGTATATTTTTTCAGAAATGTAGGTAGGCATTATTCAGAAAAAAACCTTTTCTTTGCCTTTGTTTTATTTGTTTGTTTGTTTATTTTTGTCATAGGGTGCATGTGCTCACCAGAGAGACAGGCACACACACACACACACACACACACACACACACACACACAGAGAAATGAGAAATCATCCCCCAAGGTGATGACCATGCCACAATCTCCCCTCCTTCATTTTCCTTTCAGGATTTTGGGCATGCATGTGCATGCACCTTGTGTTTTTGAAGTCATCAAGTCTGGGACTTGAACTATAGTTGGCCATGTGGGATCTGGCACCTTAATCACCATGTCACCTGCTGGCCCTCATTTGCCTTTAAAAGCTATTTGGGGAACCAGCAGTTGGTGTAATGGCTATGTCACTGAACTACCATGCAGTCGACTGCAGTTCGAATCCCAGACCCGGTGGCTTAAACTCACACCGGCCACATGTACGTGCATGCCCAAGATCCCGAGAGGAGAATACAAGAGAAGGGACTGTGGCGTAGCCATCCTCCCTGGGGGAGGGGGGTGATGTTTCACTTTCTGTCTCTGTCTTTCTGGCAAGCGCACACATCCTATAGCAAAAACTTATCCAAAAACAAACAAAAAAGCTGTTTGGTACACCCATGAAGGAGACCTGAATGAGGACTCTGAGGTTCCGTTGGTCTGAATGAGAATTTTTTTTCTGCATTTTACAAGACCTGATCTACTAACATAACGTGAGCTTTGACGAGAGACATCAAACTGCCAACGCTCTCCAATCAATTCAATCCATGAAGGTAAGAGACAAAAAGACAATGTTACTTTTCACTTATTTATTAATTCTAGCTTGAAACAAGACTACCCTCTATTTCCATGCACCTAAAGAGCATGTTTCACAAATCCGGCTCAAATGAGAATCTGTTCACCAACTGCAAGAGTGGATATATTTGACAACATTCACATATTATTCCAAAATATTTCCAAGACTTAGTCTACACCATCCACAATAAAGCTGAGTGAGTCCTGACTATTCCAGACTCCTATCCCACCTATGTGGAACACTGAGTTCATGAAAAAGTGGTCTGCAACACTGAACATGAACCAGGTGACTGGACAGGCATAAACCATAAAATGACTGTTCATATCTGAGTAGCCAGTAACAAAATTCCCAGAAGATTTGTCTATACTATATTCTCAAATTTTTTTTTGCACTAGTGAACATCATTTCCTCCAAAACAATTGTAGCCAAAAAATGATCAAGGAAGGTATTTAATGTGACAGGGCAGAATGTGGACAGTCATGCACAAGAGTGTAGGAAGGCTTTCAATCGACTGCTAATAAGCAGACACGTACACGGCCATTCTGAGCAACATGAGTAAGTGCAGAAGTGCGTACGAGATTAGCAGTTTTGGCAGGGCCTACTCTGGGCAAAGCACCTATAAGAATAATTTATAAAGCAGAGTTTAATCTTCACAGTAATGTAGAATACAGTGCTAAGTTAATTATAAGGTGGCCTGATTAAGTTTACAAAATAAAACATTTTCACTTTATCACCTTTTGGAATGCTTCTTAATGTTTAAATCTCAGCCAGAAGTTGCACAAAAGAATTCCACGAACAGAAACAAAACTTCAATTTCATAAAAAATTCAAGACACTTCCCTGAACATGACTGTGGCTGAGCAATGCGACACTGGGCCTCCTTGTACAAAGGCAATGTTACCCCAGCTATTTACAGAGTCGGTTACCCAGCTCAGACCAAGCAAACTTGACAGTAGAGCTGCTACAGAGCAAGCAGTCCTGTATTCCGTTTTCTTATTCCAGTTCCAAAACAAGGATGAGGAAAGTGTCTGTACATGAGTTAAAACGGCTCCACATTGTCATAAAAGGTGAATTCAGGATGCTCAGAGAAGTCCACAAGAACTGTATTCTGCAGAGCTTCACAGAAATTAAAGTCTTCAGAAGGCTTTTTTTAACAGAATTATTTATTTTATTTTATCCATTATTATTTTCTTTAATTTGCTGTAGGACACGTGAACTCAACAAAGAGAGACACAGAGAGAAAGAGAGAAAGAAAGTAAACTGCTAGGTCTGGGACTTGAACCATGGTCAGCCATGTAAGAGTCCAGCACCTTAACCACTATGCTACCTGCTGGCCCCCAGAAGGCGGTTTTATAAAAAGATATTAATAAACTCATCTCTGAAACTAAAAACAAATGTTCAAATAAAACTTGAATAAAAGTCTTCAAAATATAGTAAGCCTAGGGACAAAAAGTTATACTCAGATTATTTTGCCTTTATTTAAAAATATTTAAGAGTCTGGGAACCAGCAGTTAGCGTAAGGGCTATGTCGCTGGACTCCCACGTAGTCGACCGCGGTTCGCGTCTCGGACCCGGTGGCTTAAATCTCACGCCGGGCGCGTGTGCGTGCGTGCCCAAGATCCCGAGAGGAGAATGGAGGAGAAGGGATTGCGGCGTGACCATCCCCCCTGGGGGGTGATTTCTCGCTTTCTGTCTCTATGTCTCTCTCTCTGTCTGTCTGGCGAGCGCACGCGCCCTATAGCAAAAACCTCTCAAAAAAAAAAAAAAAAAAATTTAAGAGTCAGCCTGTGGTCCGGTGGTTAAGGCACACAGAACCTACAAGGCCGACTATACAGTTCTAGTCCTGGACCTGGAGGTTTGAAAAACACACTAGGGGGAGGTCCAGCACATGGAGCCGTGGTTAAGGTGCTGGATTCCCACATCAATCATGGTTTGAGTCCCAGACCCAAAGGCTTTGAAAATCACACCCAACACATAGGTGTGCATGCCCAATGAGAATGGAAGAAAAGGGACTGCTGTGTGACCATCCCCCCCGTGGGGTGGTTTCTCACTTTCTCTCTCTTGTGAGCCCATGTACCCTTGGAAGGAAGGAAAGAAAGAAGGAAGGAAGGTGGCTGGGTGGGAAGGAGGGAGAGGGAAAAGAAAAGAAAGCAAGCAAAGAAAGGAAGAAAAACACACTGAGAGTGTGTGTGTGTGTGTGTGTGTGTGTGTGTGTGCGTGCACATGCATGCCCAAAATCCCAAAAGGAGGGAGAAATGGAGGAAAAGGAATTGCAGCATAGCCACATCCCATGCAAAGTGATTTCCCATCGTCTTTCCCAGCTCTCTCTTGCCTGCTCCACCACCTCACCATGCACACACCCTCTGGCAAAAGAAAAAAGAAAAAAAGGGAGAAAAATTTTAACTATAATTTAAAACTTAATATAAGCCACCAAAAACCTCTGACCTGATATGATTACATGAAAATGCAAGCACTTCTGCATGATTAAAAAAAAAAATGAAACCAAAAACCACCATATGCAAAGACAAACAGAAAAATACCTGTCTGATTTTGAACAAAAAGTCAGTTTCTTCAGTAGAAAAAGGGCTTCTAGAAATTAGGGAAAAAAAGCTAACAAAGAAAAACAAGCAAAGGATATCAGGTAGTATAGAGAAAAAGCAAAGCATACAAAAATATGCTCAACCATACCCACTGAAGAAATGCAAATTACATCAGTTCTGAGTAATTATTTTTCCCCTGCTAGGTTGGCAATAATCCAAAACAATAAGTAACATACTATACAGGCAAGGCCATGAAGAACACAAACATTGTTGGTATATATGCAAAATGGCACAGTCACCTATAGAAGACAATTTGGCAATATTAAGCAAAATTACAACTGCATTTACTCCTGACCAGCCATTCCACTTCAGGGAATTTACCCTCCAGATATGCAACAGGTACACAAAATTGTCCATGTCCATACAAGACTATTCACCGTAGCATTGTCTCTATAGCAAAGGACTAGAAATAATTCAAGTGGCCCTCTACTGGGAACTGGTTAAGTAAGTTACAGTTTATCCACACAATTAAATGTGTAAAAAAAACATAACAGTAAGAACATATGTTATATCTGCTTGTGTGTGTGTGTGTGTGTGTGTGTGTGTGTGTGTATCCACACTGGAAGGAATCATAAGGAAATAACAGAAATGGTTAGTTAATGGGGTGGAGACAGGAAGACTAATGGGAAGTTAAACTCCTCAATGTATACCTTCTACATCATTTTGATTTGTGAACTAGATGAAATCTTCAAAATGAGTAAGTAAAAATAATACGGCATTTGTGGCCTCATTTTATACATAAAAATACTACTACTCTATATATGATAGAAATACTACAATTAGTGTTGGGAAGTACCTGATCCCCAAATCAAGAAGAAAAACTACCTATCTTACATTCCAGCATTTTTCCACAGCTCTTCTCTTCCTGGCCAACATGAAAGGTTTATCAGGCCTATGTCCTTGGCTTCGCTGAGCCTTTGCAGGGTAAGCTGCCAGCAGGGGGTAAACGGCCAGTGGATTACTCAGTGTTACTACCAACACAGGAACATGACGGCACCACCGGGACATAAAAAGGGAAGGGAATAAAGGCCAATCCCAGTCCAACAAAGAACAGATTACAGGATTTCTTTCCTAACCCGTGATGAAATTGGAACATTAGTAACAGTGATCCTGGTTAAGACTGCTTTCTCTAAAATTTAGTGTGGCCTCAGAACATCTGAAAGAGAAATGTCTACCCCTAGCCCCAGTCAGGTAAGTGAGCCAACACTCAGGCAACTATTTGTGGGCATACTATGTGCCTGAAACATCCCAGGAGTCTTCCTTTCTGCAACTTTCTTCCTACTGTTAGAGATTCAAATAAGAGAAGATATGTGAAAGCACTTACAGGTCTATGAAAATATAAGGTATTATTGTATCCTTAAATGATCTGGTAACACAACCAGCTGTTTTCCCATGGGGAATCACCTATGGGAAAACCTTGTATTATTCATAATATAAAAACCTCACATTAGTTTAATTTAGTTGAAAAAAATGAACTTGCAAGATTTTCTGGGATATGGCCATAACAACAAATTTTAGATAAACTAGCAAAGCACATATATTACAACTAAGGGAGGCAAATTTCCTGGATATGTGTAAAAAGATTTTTTTTTTTTTTTAAGGTTTTGCTATAGGGAAAAAGACTTTTTCTCAAGAGACAGAGAGGAAAAGTAAGAAATCACCCCCCAGGGAGGATGGCCACACTACAATCCCTTCTCTTTCAATCTCCTCTTGGGACGTGGGGCACATGCGCACACGTGCCCAGCATGACTTCCAAGCTACCAGGTCTGAGACTCAAACTGTGGTTGGTCATGTGGGAACCCAGCATACCTTGACCACCTTGCCACCTGCTGGCCTAAGAGATATTCTACTTAAAACCATAAAATTTAGGGAAAAAGTGAAAATATTAAAATACAGATTTTAAAGTCTCTCTGCTAGCTTAGTTATTTATAAAAGTACATTATAACTGGTCACCAAATTTCTGTTACATGTTTCCACCTCTGGGGCTAACATGTGGACCGAGTTGGAAGAGCTCTTGGATGTTGCCCAACCTAACTGCCCTCCCAGTGAGAAACCTCTTCAGAGTGTCTGCAGTGAAGAGCAGCTTCCAGAACCAAATCCCAGCTTCAATATTTCTACAAACAGGAGCCAACGACCTCTCCCAGCAGCAGCGCGTGGGGCTCTTAGGCAGTTTTTTCCTGCTTTGAGAACTATGGCACCTCTGCCCACAAGCCAAACTGGAGTATTAAAATGCACATATTTTATCACTAAAGAAAAAAACTTGCCTTGTAAAACCATTCTGTATAAGTTCTCTTTGAAGTTTCTGATCTTGAGCAGCATATTCAGAAAGTTCAGATTCCACCGCAGGAGGGAGAATGTTTGGAATAAATTTAGAAAACAGAGTTGGAGCCATCTGAACCCATTCTGTGTGAAAAGGAAAAATTCATTAAGGAAATCATATAGACAATTTAAACAGAAAAGGGCAAGTTTTTTGTTCAAAGGACAAAAACACACATAAAACCAAATTCAAAATTAGGGAATAAGCTAATGCAATTAATTCCATTCAGGTAAAAAAAAAAAAAAAGGAGTTAAATTTTTTTCTAAGAAGAATGTACAATATGAAGAAAGCAGACATTTTTACATTTTACTGGTTGAATAGAATTTAATGAAAAATCCCAAGATCTTGTTGAAAATTGTAAATATGAAAGGAAAAAAAAGAATGAGATTACAAAGAATTCTGAGTGAAAGGGTTTGGAGGAATAGGGGCTTGGTAGAAATACCAATCCTATTAGCCATGAATTAAAACAACATGCTGGCCCTAAAGGAGAGTAACACAGGTAACAATAAGGAAGCATATCTTCAAAAAAGAGACAACACGAACAAAGGGGTAGGGAGGACTACGCAGTCAATAACCTAGCCGGACATAACTGGTTAGTACTTTGAAATAAGTTTTCTTTTAAAAAAGATTTATTCCTTTTTTATTATTATTATTTTTACTCATTATTATTCTTTAATTTGACCAGATAGAGATAGAGACAGACAGAGAGAAAGCAAGCCACCAGGTCTGGAATTCAAACTGCAGTCAGCCACGAAACTAGTCCAGCTCCTTAACCACTAATGCTACCTGCCAGTCCCGAAATAAAAATCTTTTTAAACCCGTGTTAAATTAGAGCAAATTAAATACAATTAACAGTAACAAAAGAGAGAAGTAGTTACTAAATTATTTTTTAAAAAAAGATCAAGAGAGTAATCTGCACAACGTGACAAGAAGTCACAGGAAAATATCTACACCAGACATGACAAAGATGAATTAGTATTTTATTATAAAGAATTTGTATAAATCAGTAAGGCTGGATAAATAACTAGATTAAATTATTGATAAAAAATAAAAGTACTAAGTAGCCTTGTTAATTAATAGCCTCAGAAAAGTTCAAGATAAAATAAACATATTCTTTTCTCCCTACTCAGTAAACATTAAATATAAAATAGTGCCTATCCCCACCAAAGGCATCATGAAACTAGTACTCTTTTGCTGGGCATCCTTAACTACCACTGCTGACCCTTTTGACCCTTTTGAATTGTTTTAATGTAGCCTTTTCAAATTTTCCCTTTTGGAAAATATCTTGGCTGTATATATTAAAAGCCAGTAACGATGTTGATGCTCTTGAATCCAGTAAACCCACTTTAAAAACAGTGAGCAAGTGATTCTAAACCTGAAAAAAACATGTTTGACAATGCTGAGTCAAAATAAGGTTTTTTGTTTTTTGGTTTTTGTTTTTTTAAGCTCAAAAGAACAGCGTTTTATTTCTCTCTCTCATCTGTCTCTCTTTAAGTTTTGCTAGAGGGCCCATGTGCCAGAGAAACACAGAGAGGGAGGGAAAGCGAGAAATCATCCCCCAAGGGGGATGGCCACACTGCAATCCCTTCTCCAATCTCATCGCAAGATTTTGGGCACGCACACACGCACGTGTACCCAGCAGACTCGAAGTGCATAGTCAGCCATGTTGGATCCAGTCCCCTGCACCTGCTGGCCCCAGAATAGCTACATTAAAGACAGCAAATAAGCACTACAAATTATACAAGGACCAATCCACTTAACCCTGCATAAACTCATGGCAAAGTGTTCCCAGCAGTTGTCCTTCCAGTTTAGCTTAAATATAGCTTTAGGGCCTCAATACAATGATCTAGGGAATCACTAACCAGTCAGGCTGGCAGAAGTTTGCTACTCTACCAAACTTAAGCAATCATTAAAATAAAGATGAAGAATGAGCCAGCCAGTGATGTGATTAAGGTGGCTGGATTCCACATGGCCAACTGCATGATTCAAGTCCTAGACCCGGCAGCTTGAGAAACATGCTGGGCCGCGCGTGCGCGTTTATGTGTATGCCCAAAATCCTGAGAAGAGAATGGAGGAGAGGGGATTGCAGTGTGGTCATCCGTCCGGAAGGTACTTTCTCACTTTTCAATCTCTCTTTCTTTCTCTGTCTCTGGCAAGCCCTATAGCAATTTTAAATAAATAAGAAAAGATGAAGAAATGAAGGAAAGTGTATATGTTAAATGAAAAAAAGACAGCATAGTATATTGCTGGAGCTATTTCTAAACTGAGCTTCTATAGACCAAATGGAAGCACACCAAAAGTGATGAGCCATCAGAATCTTCAGTGATCAGAACCCAGAAAACTACAGCTTAAAAAAACTTTCTTATGTGATTCAGATGCAGTCACACAAAGAGCAGCACTTGAGAACTATGATGGGAGAAACTTTTACATTCAAAATTCAGTTTTTAAAATATTCTAACCTTATTCTGTCAGGTGAATAAAACTGCTTTAATAAACCAGGAATATAATGGGTACTGGCAAGACATGTAAATGTCAAAATATGTTTAACAGTATCTCAGAAAATGCCTAGGGCAGCAAAAGGTTAGTCCGCGATAAAATTCACCTTTTCAAAAGGACAATTCTGAAATACAGAATTCTCCTCACAAGAAGTATAAATCCTATTACAAGAGTTTGGACCTAGATAAAATAGCATTTAGATAAACATGTATCTATAATTTTTTTTCTCCTCTTAGTGATTAGCTTTATTCTGCAATTTTGTTACTCATGATAAAAGCCAGAGCTGATAGAGCTGCCTACTTGGGAGGCAGAATTTGTCATACTGTACTTGGATGCCTTCCAACATTAAAAAAGTCATTCATAACTGAGCACATGAAAAAATTCATGAGCTGTTTTCATCTCACTAGTGTAAAATGAAATTCAAAACTCCAAGCTAGAAAAAAAGTCAGTTCATTGGACACATACAATAAAAATCATTCTTGCTACTTTATGTAATAAATAATTACTTTATACGAGTAACTTCTTTTATGAATTATAAAGAACAGAGCTCAAGGACTGATCTAAATTTAAGTAACATTAAACTTGAATATTCTAAAAGTCACTAACATTTAAAGTAGTCAGAGACAGCCCTGGTACCAGTCTTCACTTGGTTTCCATTTTAGCGTGCTAAATTCTGACATTCTTCATTTCAACTAACAGCTAACAATCAAACCATCAATTAATTAAAGTAACTACTAAGCTCAAATGGATAGTAATCATAGCAATTAATGTCAATTAATGTCTGCACACTTGTTATGTTATCAGGTAGTGTTAAGCTCTTTACATCATGTTTTATTTCATTTATCCTCAAACAACAGAAGAATTTCACAAATGGATAATTACTGTCAGCAAAGCATTTCAGGTTTATAGACTGAGAACTTGCGATTTCTCTTCATGGACATTTCTTTAATTATCTAGAAAACTCTATGACAAGATTAAGTCCTGGCTTACAGACAGGAAGATACATACATATAAAAACACCTTGGTGAGACCAGCAGTTGGTGTAATGGCTGTGTTGCTGGACTCCCATGTAGTCGACCATGGTTTGAATCCCAGACCCAGTGGCTTAAACTCACGCTGGGTGCATGTGTGTGTGTGCCCAAGATCCCAAGAGGAGAGCGGAGGAGAAGGGATTGCAGCATAGCCATACCCCCCGGGGGATGATTTCTAGCTTTCTGTATCTCTGTCTCTCTCTATCTTTCTGGTGAGCACACACGCCCTATAGCAAAAAAAAACTCTCCAAAGAGAAGGAAAAAAAAGAAAAAAGGACCTTGGGATTCCTTAACATCTAAAATGCTTTTATTCAAAGATAGATACTTCAAGGTAATTTACAAACCATGCTTTTCAATACAAAAATCTTTGACTTTTGCTTGTGCTCTTCTGATTCTATCTCTACCCAAAACATTCTTAGGAAATAACTAGAACTTTTTCAGTGCTTCTAAATGTCTTGTGAATATGTAGGGTGTATTTGTAGCATGAGGCAGGAAGAAGAAACTTGGTAACAACAAAGACAGAGATTTAAACCAAATGTGAGATCCAATTTTATCCAAAGTGTATCCTACATATTATTTTTTATATTTCCTCACAGGTACTGCAAAAACCAAACTAGTTGGTTTTCACTAGCAGACAGAGTCCTAAGTGAGTTCTGAATTTACCGTTCACAGTGATGAATATCTACTCAACTTTATGCTAATGCAAATCAATATACCATTAGACCTCATCAAACACATATAGAACCTCTACTCTCTTGGATAAGGCTGTAATATAAACAATGTTGGATGCCTTCGAGCATTAAAAATAATCATTCACAACCAAGCACATGAAGAAACTTATGAGCTGTTTCCATCACTAGTGTAAAATGAAATTCAAAACTCTAAGCTAGAAAAAAAGTTCATTGGACACATACAATAAAATATTCTTGCTACTACATAAATAATTACTTTATATAAGTAACTTCTCTTAAGAATTGTAAAGAACAGAGCTCAAGGCCTAATCCCCACAGAAATGACAAATGTTTACCTGGTCTGAGAGTATACAGGCCTTTCACAATATTCGCCATAGTAGAAGGTGTGACCTGAAATGGTGTTGACTGGGCTTCTAAAAGTAAAGCTGAAATAAAAAGAAAAAATGGGTTGAAGAGGATGCAACACTTACTGATCATAAAGGGGTCTTGGATCTTGAATCCATGTTGAAATTAGAAAGAACCTTTCTATTACTATTTCTCTCAAAGACTAAATGGTAAACAAGTGCAAGAAAAGAACAGCCCAAAGGGACAAATCATGTGTTTATATACTGAGGGTTAAAAAAAGTAGCTAGATATAACAATGTGAATTATATTTGAATATATACAATAAAGGCTATCAGAGATGCACTGTTTATCCTCCCAATGTTAGCATCAATAGTTAGGTACAATATTGAACAGCGCAGATATGTTTTAAGATGAAATGTTAAAATGTTAAAGAATTTCAGAAAGAAATCATATCACTTTAAAATGCAATGTTTAAAAATGGAAACTCTAAGTATTAGATTATGAATGTCTTCTCAAGATTTTAATTTCAACATGTACCCAAAATCCAAGACCTGTCTTTATTAATCCATTCTCCTACTTCTGACCAATCATTTCGGGCTTCAGTCTTGTTCCCACTAATTCTTCACATTCAATCACATATTCACCATATGATCAAGCACATAATGTGTCTAAACAACCCTTTCCATAACTGTAATTATCTAGGTCAATCTGACAGGTAAGAAGTGATAAAGATTAAATTATACACAAAATTCACATCAACTAATTTGGGATTAATTAATTAAAAATATTACACTGATAGGACCAGGAGATGGCATAATGGTTATGTCGCTGGACTCCCACGTAGCTGATGGTGGTCTGAGTCCCAGACCCACCGGCTTAAAACTCATGCCAGGTGCATGTGTATGCATGCATGTCCAAAATCCTGAGAGGAAACTGGAGTAGGAATTGTGGTGTGGCCATGCCCCTGGAGGGCAATTTATCACTTTCTATCTCTCGGGGAATGCACGTACCCTAGAGCAAAAAATCTCTCTTAAAAAAAAAAGACAACTTTCACAGAAAACTGAGAAGGTGCTGTGATATTTCAATAAAATTCTCTCTGTTTAAACTCTAGTTAGTCTTCCCTTTTAAGGAAAAAAATTGGAGTTTGGGGGAGAGACAGGTTGACAAAGTAAAGAAAATATTTAGTATTTAGTAGGTGCTAGGTACTTTACATATGCTTAATGTTCACAAGCTTTAATTTAGGATTTACTTTCTTACAGCTTTATTATCTACTTTGTTTTTGTTTTTGTTTCTTTTTTCTTTCAAACAGGTAAGAAAAATGAGGCTAAAAACAAAACCCACTGAGTAATTAATCCAAAGTCACAGGGCTAGCTGGTGGCAGAAGGGGTCCAAGAACTTTTGTTTCACTCTAAATTCTGTAGTCTTCCTACTTCACTGTACTACCACTGAAATGTAGATTTTATATGCAAGTGGTACTAATAAAGTGTTTCCTTTATCAACAGTTTTCTTCTCAACACCACATATTAAAGAAACAAGTATGCTCCAACAATTCCACTCATCACAGATGCCAATAAATCATACAGTTTTAAAACTAAGATAGGACCTTAGATAACTGCTAGTCCTAAACACTTCTTTTTACAAACTATGACACTGAAGTCTAGGAGGTTAAATAAGTGCTCTGCCGAAAGTCACACACCGTTTCAATACTTGAATTGGAACCAGAACCCAGATCCTCTGGTCTTTCAAGTATTCCTCAGACTTGTTCAAGGGCTTCTCTCCTTTATTAATTTGAGCAACAATTATTTTGCCTTTTTAAGACTAGAGAATTTTGCTGTAGGGCACGAGTGCACACCGGAGAGACAGACAAAAAAGCAAGCAATCACCCCCAGGGGGGAATGGTCACTACACAATCCCTTCTCCTCCTTGGGCACGCACACACAGGCCTGGCGTGAATTTTAAGCTGCTGGGTCCAGGACTTGAACCACGGTCTTCTACATGTGAGTCCAGAGGCATTAACCACTACGCCATCTGCTGGCCCCAAAAAGCAACTCTTAAAATTAAAACTAAAACTAAAAATACTCTTGACTTCAAAACTACGTATTTCAGGGACCAGCAGTTAGCGTAATGGCTATGTTGCTGGACTCCCACGGAGTCAACCGCAGTTCAAGTCCTGGACCCGGTGGCTTAAACTCACGCTGGGCACGTGTGCGTGCGTGCCCAGGATCCCAAGAGGAGAATGGAGAAGGGATTGCGGCGTGGCCATCCCCACTAGGGGGTGATTTCTCGCTTTCTGTCTCTCTGTCTCTCTCTGTCTGGTGAGCGCACACGCCCTATAGCAAAAAAAGCTCTCAAAAAAAAAATTACATATTTCAAACTACAGAGTTTGCACTAAAACATGATTATTTAAAATTCTCTATGCAACTAATTTATAAATCTTCTACTAAAAAATTTAACATATTTCATTTTCTCAAGAAATGTATCCCATTAACTAACCCCAGCCCTAAATATTTGTAATTCTATCACATTTGCTCAGAATCACCAACAAAATAATACTATGAACCTACCTTAATTAATGTAGATCCTAGCAGTTCTGCTATTTTCAAAGTATAATTCAAAGTAAAAATTAATTTTGAGGGAAAATAATTTTACCACTAGCTAAAATTAGAAGCCACTTTATTTTATAAGCATTATCTAGATGAAAATGATCATACCAAGGAACGGACAGAAAATCACTCTGTGTACAGTGATGTCACTGTCTTCATTCATGAAAGATACTGTTCATGAATAATAGGAGCTCTAGAGTACTGATCTCTTTACTGGCACAGACAGTGTTCCTTTTGTCTTGCTGTACTGGTTTAAGACATGGCCCTCAAATCCTTTTGACACACCTTCTCCTGAAAGATAAGGGTCATGTCTTCTCTCCTAGAATCTGGGCTTTGTAATAGAATACAGCAAAAGTGACAGTGTGACAATTTCTGGGGCCAGAACTTAGGAAACTGGACCATTTCCTCTATCTTTGGATGTCACTCTTGGAGGAAACATGAGGAACCGAAAGTCAGTACCAATTCACCAGCCATATGAGTGAGTCATACTAAAAAAAGTCCTAGTCTTTGGTTGAGCCGCATCAGCAAAGAGAAACCGCTTCACCATGTCTTCCCCAAAGTGCAGAGCTAAGTAAATGACTACAGTTGTTTTAAGCTATTGTGTTTGGGGATGATTTGTTACACAGCAATAATAAATGACACACGAGCAATTCAAAACGTATTTGAAACCACAAGAAGAAAATAAACGGGCACAAAGACACTATGGAATACCATTCAATCATGGGAAACAATGAGACCTTGTCATTTGATTCAAAGTGGATAAATGCAGATTTAATGATAAGCAAATTAAGCCAGACTTTGAAAGTCATTGTATATCCCTGCTAACTATATACTGAATGTCTGTACTCTATGGCAGAAATGGAAAGACCAAAGATATGATAGTAGGGAGGATAAGAATAAATACTATACTGTTAGGGAAGGAGTGGATGGTGGAGGATGAGTAGGTAGGGCAAAGCGAAGAAACACATAACAGAATGGAAAGTTCCCTATTGAAGATGATGTACATGGTAATGTCCTTGATTAGGCACATACTACATGCAAACTTTGAAAAACCAGATTGTATGCTATAGAGTTATGCAATGACTAAATGTAGGTTTAAAAATCATATTTTTTAAAATAAAGTTAACTGATCAGATTTTTAAAAATCATAGCAACTGAGTGTCATTACTAGTTTGTTGGAATTACTTTTGTTGGAATAAGTGATGAGAAAATGTGTAACTAGAGACACATTGATACTTAATAGCTGTGTTATTTTGGTTTAAATTAATTTTAACCTCTCTTTGCTTCAGCTTCTCAACATCCATAAAATGAAAATAATGACTGTACCTGTCTTAAAAGCTTATGAAAATTAAATAAGTCAATACATATAAAGTATCTGTAACAGGTTCTACCACATATAAACAGTGTGTGTGGTTTTTTAAAAATCTTTTTGATGACCATCCACATAATACTGTTAAATAGATTCCCTTGTTCTGCAGCCCAAACCAATGAGGCTGCTGGTCACTTTCATACTCCTTACTCTTAGTAAGGAGTTGCTAAGTACTCTTAGCAATGCCTGAAAATTGCTCAATAAATACATGATAAACTCGGTTTTTTGGTTTTTGATTTTTCTTTTCTTGCTAGAGGGCATGTGTACTAGCCTGAGAGAGACAGAAAAACAGAGAAGGAGAGAAGAAAGCATTCCCCATGGGCAATGGTCACATGACAATTACTTCTCCATCTATCCCCTTTCAGGATTTCAGGCATCCACACACAAGTGTATGGTGTCTGATAAATTCAGTTTTACCCAATTTACAAAAGCTTAAAGGCCTTTCCAGTTTACTTAGAAAAGAAAACATATGTCCACCTTTTAGTGTAATTTTTATCAGATGCCAAACTAGTCTTTCAAATTCTCTTTATGTTTTCTCTTATCAGATCTAGACTAGTATATTCTCTTTTGAATATCCCCTTTGCATACGTCTAATATAACTGATTTCCAAATTACTGGCAAATGCAAAAACATATCTACAGAGTGCATTCATTGGCTTTACTACCAGACAACAGCGTTTCTCTATAAAATTTTAACAGAAACGACTTCAAAATACTGTACTCTATTTTACAATGAAAGCAAAAGGACAATGTCAATATCAAAGAAAATATTTAAATGGTTGTAATTAATAGTTGGATTACATCATGGGATAATCTTTTAAGATGTTTGTAGATATATGTTCAATCTTTGAAAAAAATAAACATGCCATAGTTTCAAGATTCTACGACTCTGTTCTGATTTTGGAATCTCTTAGGAATATAATAAAACAACATTATGTTCATTTACATTATTTGAAAACCCCACCTTCCTAAAATAAATTAGCCTAATGCTTAACAATTCCTACTTCCTAACAATCTCAACTTAAAATAAAAAATGAAAAAAGTTTGTGGTCATACTTAGAACAATTCTTTTGTAAATACTAGTAAAAGTCAATTGTGAGAGGCCAGCAAGTGTTGAAGTGGTGAAGGTGTTGGAATTCCCACATGGTCGACTATGGTTCAAGTCCTATGCCTGGTGGCTTGCTTGCTCACTCTCTCTCTTTCTCTGGCAAAACTCATGTGAAAACTAAATAAATTAAAAAATAAAATAATTTTTTAAGTCAATTGTGATAAAATATGACTAACAGGAAAACAATTAATAATGCATACTGTAAATGTAAATATAGGCTAAATTCTTAAAAAATGACTTGATGATGGACAAGCAGTTAGCCTGATGGCTATGTCGCTGGACTCCCATGTAGTCAACCATGGTTCGAGTCCCGGACCTGGTGGCTTAAACTCACACCAGGCGCGTGTGTGTGCGTGCCCAAGATCCCGAGAGGAGAATGGAGAAGGGATTGCGGCGTGGCCATCCCCCTGGGGGGCGATTTCTCACTTTCCATCTCTCTGTCTCTGTCTGTCTGACGAGTGCACGTGCCCTATAGCAAAAACCTCTCCAAAAAAAAAAAAAAATTGACTTGATGATATATTAACTATGACTTTTACAAGATGTCGAAACATTAGGTTATAGGGATCTTCTAAATCTCACTTGGAGAGGTATATTCTTTCCGGACAGGGAGAATGAGATGCCACTGACAGTGAGGGGAGTCAGAGAGACCTGAAGATAAGGAAAGACTAACAGATGCTGGCACTTTGATTTGCTTTCATTCTCTCTCTCTTTTTTTTTTTTTCCATAGAGACATACACTGGTCAGAGAGAAAAAGTGAGAACCCTGCCCCACCTCTGGGAGATGGCCACACCACAATCTCTTCTCCTCCACTCTCCTCCTGGGATTTCACACATGCACCCGGCATGATTTTCAAACCACAGGGTCCAGGACTTAGACTTGAATTGTGGTCGAACATGTTGGAGTCTAGTGCCTTTACTACCACACCACCTGCTGCAACCCTGATTTGCCTTCTTAATTACCTACATCACCATGTTTTACAAATACTGATTTGTAGAAGAGAAACTGCAAGACCACAAAAGGATAAGAAGCTTGTCTAAAACACACAGTAAATGACAGTGCCAGGTCTAGAGAAGGATTTCTATACTAAAGGATAAAAATCAGAGAAGATTCTGTACTACCACTTCAAAAATGTAACATTACACTTCTAGAGCTATTGCTAATGAAATTATGACAGAACCTCCTAATAATTCTTCCCTCATTGTCAGAAAAATAAAGGCAACAAGTATCAGGCCTGACATGAAGGCATTATCTAGTGACCTGGCTAAGCAGCTTCCAGCTTACCAAGTGACCTTCAAGCCACATTTTCAATTTCTTACTGTTTCTCCCTAATATAACAGGGTGAGCTCCAACACTGCCTGCTATCTAGTTCCAATGTCAGCATTGGGGTATTTATATATCAATGTTCTCAGAACCTCAAAAAAGAAATAATAAAGAAAAGATCACTGTAAGTGTTATCTCATCCTAAAAGATGACTGAATTACTTACGCATTAGGCTGTAAATGTGCTTTTCTGCAACATGTTCCGTAAACAGCTTTATAAGGTCATCTTTTAAGTCTCTGTTAAGCTTGGTTTCGATGTAAAACTTATTCTGAAAAAGAAATAAATTCCTTTTTGTAAATCAACTGGGGGAAATGGTAAGTCCAATGAACTAAAGCAATAAACATTATTTTAGGAAACAATGCATAGAGGTATCCATTAAACTAAACCAAATCTAAATAAATAAATAAACAAAACTCAACATGAAACAACAAAAGCCCTGCCACTATTAGTTATGTGTCTTTCTGGCATGAAATTAAGAGCGCAAAAAGATAAAATGCTATGAACCATACATCCCCAACAAAATACTACAAGAACCAATATTAACTAGATAAGGATGTACAGACATTTTAAAAATACATCATTTAGAGACAACAATAGGAAACACTAATGAAAAATACCCCATTTATCCATTATTGAGGCTTAAAGCAGGCAGTGAACATGCACTGGCAGACTCCCCAACTCACACTCCACTTCAATGAGAAGTCTAAGTCATTCAGTTTATGGCATTTCCAAGGCATTTATGGCATTTGAGAGGTTACTACAGGGCACGTGCACTCGCCAGACAGACAGAGAGAGACAGAGAGACAGAAAGCGAGAAATCGCCCCCCAGGGGGGATGGTCACGCCGCAATCCCTTTTCCTCCATTCTCCTCTGAGGATCTTGCGCACGCACGCACATGCACCCAGCATGAGTTTAAGCCACCAGATCCAGGACTTGAACCGCGGTCGACTACATGGGAGTCCAGTGACATAGCCATTACGCTAACTGCTGGTCCCTGTGTCTTCCATTTTTAACTAGTTTCATGATTCATATAAGAGTTCTGTTACTTAAAGCAAAAGAAAAGCCTTTTTATAAATTTCTCCCAAGATAAGTCTTGGCAAAAGACAAGGCAAAAACCAGTTTCTTCTGCATTATTAACTAGAAAACTCTTGATTAACTTTTATAAATGTTATCAGTACCCTAAGAATAAATAAGGGTAAATGAAAATCATGAAGCATTACATGATCTTTTGAAAAGTGACTTCTAAATAAGAGGTGGAAGTAATTTTGTTTGGCTTTTACTTAAATGTACATTTTATGGAAAATTATTTTAAAGCTTGGTATGCATATACAGCAATCTACTACTATAGAATACAGAATCAACCTAAACATACCATTCCCTAACCTAGTAAATGAAGAGGGGCCATGGTTGCTTTCTTTTTCTTTTTAAGTTTTTGCTATATGGCGCATGCACTCACTGAAGAGAGACAGACAGAAAGCAAGAAATCATCCCCTAGAGGGGATGGCCTTGCCACAATTCCTTCTCCTCTATTCGCCTCTAGAGATTTTCGCATACACACACACACACACACACACACACACACACACACACGTGCCTAGAGTGAGTTTTAAGCCACCAGGTCCAGGACTTGAACCACAACAGACTATGTAGGAGTCCAGTGATGTAACCATTATACCATCTACTGGTCCAGAGGGGCCATGGTTTCTAAGGGCTCCTTTGTTCGATAGCAACATTAACATTAAGAATCTACAATTCTGTATATTTCAAAGAGGGAGGGAACTAATTAACTAACTATTAATTACATTCCTAATATAACTCCCCAAATAAAGGGGATCATCAGAATGGAAGTTAATATTGCACTGTTCTGTTTTTAATGGAATGACTTTGTATTTATCATACATCATATTTTTAGAACACGTCTTAACTTTCCACTTTCCCTGGACCAAGCACAGTGCCTACCATGTGGCAGAAATAAAATAAATGCTCACTGAGTGACTGTTGAGTAAAAATGTCTGCTTGTCTACTCAGCAAAAACAGACAAGTTACTTACAGTATTTCAAAATATAAACTATCAAACTACCAAAGCTAAATAATTTAACTTCTAATAAAAGAAAATTAGGACACACTGAGTATTTGGGGGGAAAAAGAAAAAGCTCTAACTTACCATATATATGAAAAGAGGCACAATGCTCTGCAATGCTCCCATATACTGTCCAAGAGCTATATTAAATCTTTCAATATAGAGATCGGGAGGGCTGGCCTGTGACAAAGAACATATAGATATGTGATCACTCTGAGAAAGCAAGCAAACGACCTTCCACTGCAGTCTGAAATGCAGAAGGACTTAGGAAGAATCCAAAATTCACACAGAGTCACAATAAAAGGATACCATCTATATCCTGAAGTTAAGACCTTTTCTTTCCAAAAATCTGCTATATAAAACTGAGGTTTGTGTTAGTCATCTTTTTTTTTTTTTTTTTTTTTTGGAGAGATTTTCACTGTAGGGCGCGTGCGCTCGCCAGACAGATAGAGAGAGACACAGAGACAGAAAGCGAGAAATCACCCCCCAGGGGGGATGGTCACACCGCAATCCCTTCTCCTCCATTCTCCTCTCGGGATCTTGGGCACGCACGCACGCACACGCGCCCGGCGTGAGTTTTAAGCCACCGGGTCCAGGACACGAACCGCGGTCGACTACATGGGAGTCCAGCAACATAGCCATTATGCTAATTGCTGGTTCCCTGTGTTAGTCATCTTTAAAAATCATGGAACCTTAACATGTTAATGCTTGCTCTCTTAATGAGTAAAAAGATACATTCAAAATTAAGATAAATTATGTTTTAAAACTCATCACTGAATTATACAGATAGTTCCTACTGGAGTCAAACTAAATCAGGCTCAGAATTGGGGAGGGCACAAGGGGGTGGTGGTGTCCAAGGTCATGGTACAGGCTTAATATACTATTAGAATATTAATGAAAAAAATTTTAAGTTGTATTTCTTTTAATGAGAGAGACACACACACACACAGGCAGAGAGAAAACCAAGCACTCTTAATGGGGTTTCAAGTGACGATCACTA